CTGATCTTCAGTTTGAAGTCTTTGTGAATATTTATAATTGCTTGTTATAAACTAATTTTATTACAGGAAGCAAGGTAGCAGAGCAGTGATTAAGAGCTTGGACTCTAAGACAGATAAACTGTGTTTAAATGCCAGCTCCAGCACCTAATAGTAGCATGAACTTGGGCAGGTTGTTTAATATTCCTAAACTTCAATTTCCCCAACTGTCAATAAGAATATTAATACCTACTCATGTACGGGATTGCTGGGGATTAAATGAGATTATACATGCAAATTTCTTAGGATAGTATTTGGCCCCTGTGAGAATTCCATAACATTTACTTATTTTGTTAAAACAATTTTCAGAATTTATGTACTCTGAAGATTAAGCTGTTTAATGTCTGGATTTATTCAGCAAACCCAAATGGTTTCTGATACTTCTTGAAGTTTCTTCACATATTGATTTTTTACCTCTAAGTGTTCTGGGGTACTTACTCTCCTTTGTCCACATGTTAACTATATTTTTTTATTTTCTGACATCTAAAACCTTATTGATCCTCTAGACTCAGTGCCAATCTCAGGTCAAGCTAATTCTAAGAAAGAGTACACACTAACTAAAGAGCAAGTTCTTTAAATGCAAACCAAAAAATACAGAGCACATACCCTCAGTCATCTTCTTTGTCAGGCTGAACCATACCTATGCTTGCCCCATCATTACAGGGCATGGTAGGAAAAAACTAGAAATAGTCCTGATAGCCCAGAGCCCACCAAAATCATTGTACCTTTTTTGTCCTTAGCCTGTTTACCCTCCCTGTGTAATCTTTCCTGCTGCAGCTTGTGCCCATGCTTTTCACTTCTCCCTCTGACTCCTGACCAATTCAGGTATTTAGGAGGGATGTCTTTTAGCAACTGTGAATTACAACCTATCCTTTGAATGGCAACTCTCTCTTGATCATACTCGAATAAAAACAAAATTCTGGATGCATTTTAAAACATTCTGGCTGTGTTTTACATGCAGAAATATGTCAGGCAAAATCTCTCACTTTACACAATCCAAGCAAAATGAAGCCTAAAAGAAGATGCTAAAGATAATAACACAGGGTTAAATAGAGCTTCTCATAGTTTTTAAATTGAAGTCCTTTAACTGTCCCTCTCCTGGCAGATATATAACCTAGAGCTATAATGAAACTATATAGGTCCTAACCAGACAAAGATCTCCTGGGAGCTCTACTTTGTTTGTACCTAATGTTTAATATCACTATCACTAGCTTCCCTCCATTTGATCTCACTGGCTTAATGTTGTTCAGAAATTTCAAAATGTTCTTGTTCCAATGATAGCACCATGCCCTATTTAATGCTGTAACTTCCAACTACTTCTCTTTCTCCTCCCGCTTTTACCACCTCCTCTTCCTATTTGCTATTTCATTGGTTTGGGCCAGGGAGAAAGGTAAACATATAGGCTAGTTTTGCCATTAAGAAGTCACATAATGTTCAGTGCCCTGCATTTCTCACTGAACAGTCAGATCAGTTGGAACCCAGTTGCATAAACAGAAAGCCTTCTGACTATTTTAAGTAGGAAGGAGTTTAATTTGGGGAATTAAGTGCTTTGCAAATCCAATGGTGAGGAAGAAGGAGTAGATTCTAGACTGGGCAACCAGAAATGACTCCATGGCAAAAACTGGTCTGCAGAGACTTTCTCTACCATAATATAGAAACCAGGGAGTCTGGAACTGGTGTTCTCATTGTTGCCCTACTATCAATTTACTCTTGAGAATCTGAAATCCACAGTAGCAACTGTTGTCTAGAAACCCTTTTCCATAACATTAATCTGAGGGCCGTGGATTAGCTCAGTGGTGCTGCTGCCTGCCTCATAGCAATAATCTGATGATGACAAATTGCTACCAGAATAATGGCTCCAAAACCATAATGTAAATTCTACATTAGTGCTGATTAGGTGGGTGCTTTGTGTGCTATCATTTCTTTTCTCCATAATTTGGCTCTGAATTCAAATATCCTGTGAATGTGCTCAACAGATCTAAATTACATTCATTACCCATATTGCAATAAAGTCTGAGACCTATAGTTTCAGCTTTTTAGCTTTTGCAGTACTGGTACATACACCAAGAGAAAGAGCAACATGTATCAAGAAAATCAGTTTAGTATATTTTCCACAAAAGCAGACTACAGAGCCAGGGGGCTTAGCTCAGTGGCACTGTAGCTGCCTTGCAAGCCCAAGTTCATGATCCCTGTATCAAAAAAAAAAGCAGACTGCAGATATGTTCATGGCCACAATTTTCTTCATCTTTTTACCTATAAGAGCTTCTGAGTTGATTCACTTGTTATTTTGTAGCTAATTACTTGCAAAACAGCATTTTTTCTCTTCTTTTTAATATTATATTTTAAAAATTTATCTTGTCCTGATGCCTGGTTAGGACCTATATAGTTTCATTATAGCTTTTTCTTCTGAGGCGCAGAGAAAGAACATACTTGCTGGCTTCCTTTCTAGATATATTAGGATCATGAGACTAGAGCATGAATGAAAGTGATATATCAATTTCTATGATTCTTCTCTAAAATATGCCCTGTGAAGTATAGGATTTTAGGATGATATAGCCCTAATGAAAAGGATCCAAGTCAAAGCCATTGCCTGGAAAAGAACTGCTTGGGAAAAAATGGATCAAAAAGTTGTGGAACAATTACTACTATTGAATTAAAAAACATGTTTATTACTCCAAACTGAACCTGTATCTATTTACAGTTACTCTCTATTTGCTCCTTTGAGGACCTGGTATCCAACAAGCAAGATGAACTAAAAAGTAAAATAACTGAAATAAAAAATATGCTAGAGATCTTCAAAGCAAGCAAAGAAAAGAATCAGCAAACTTAAAGATAGGACAATTGGAATTACTACATTTGAGGAAGGGGAAAAAAGATGAAGAAAAATGTATGATAGGTTGGACATTATCAAGTAGACAAACATGCACATTGTGGAAATCCCAAAAGAAGGAGAAGAGAGAAAAGAAGGCACAAAGAATATTTGAAGAAATAATGGCTTAAAACTCCCTAAATTTGATTAAAGACATGGGCCTACAAATCCAAGAAGTCTAACAAACTCCAAAGAGGATAAACTCAAAGAGATTCTTATAAGAGAGAAGCAAGTCATTACATATAAGAGATCATTAACAATACCATTAGCCAGTTTCTCATTGGATTCTAAAAGGGAAGAGACTGATATACTTAAGACTACTGAAAGAAAATAATTGTCAACTCAGAATTCTATATCTGGCAAAACTATGCTTGAAGAATGAAGGAGAAATTAAGATATTCCAAGACAAAACAAGACAAAGGAATTTGTTACTATTAGACCTTCCCAACAAAATATGCAAAAGGAGTCCCTCAGGCTGAAATGAAAGGACACTAGACAGTAACTCAAAGTCACAGAAAGACATAAAGACCATTGGTAAAGATAACCAAATAGGGAAATATAAAAACCAGTATTACTGTGCTTTTAGTTTTTAACTCCTTTTTTCCTATATGATACAAAAGATAAATGCATAAAGCAATAATTATAAATCTACATTAATGGACACACCATTTATAGCAGTGTAGTCTATGCCAGTAACAGTATAAAGATTATGGAGATGCACGGGAGCTAAGTGTTTAAATGTTATTGAATCTAGATTGCTATTATTCAAACTAGATGTTGATTTTATCCTTAAGAGAACCACTGAGAAAAAATAAAAGATATACAGAAAAGTAAAGAAGAAAATAAAAATGGTATACTACAAAAATCAACTGAATGGAAAAAAAAAAGCGTTAATGGAAGAACTAAGGAACAAAAGCATATAAGAGGGCAGGGATATAGTTCAGTGGAAAAGTAATTGCCTAGCATGTAGGAGGCCCTGGGTTTGATTCCCAGTACTGGAAGAAAAAAATATATACAAATACAGAAAAAAAATAGGTAAATGGTTGAAGCTAAGGCTGTCTTTAGGAGTAATTACTTTAAATGTAAGGATATTTTCAATTAATTTGACTAATCTCTAATTAAAGATAAAATGAATTTTACAGTAGTACTGGGGATTGAATACAGACTCATCACAATGAACTATATTCCTATACATGCTCAGCCCTTAAAACAATTTTTTGAGACAGAGTCTTGTATGTTTCTAAGTTGCCCAGAGTAGGCTCAAAACTGAAATCATCTTGACTCATCCCAGAGTGCAGGGATTGCAGATGTGTGCCACCAGGACTGGCTCTCAAACCTTTTATAAGGGCTTTAATCTCATTCACAAGTAGGGAGCCCTCATGACCTAATTACTTCCCAAAATGCTCCACCTTTCAACACCTTTCAATTGGTTGGTGGTTAGGTTTCAACATATGAATTTTGAAGGAATACAAATATTCAGACTATAGTGCTATCATTTAGATTTTTCTGGAGGTTTCATTACATATGGATGACTGGTTAAATCAATAGTCAATGGTTGTTAATTCAACTTCCACCCCCTTCTCTGGGGGAGGTAAGGTTGAAAGTTCCAATCCTCTAATCACATGGTTGATTCTTCTGGAAACCAACCCCATCCTGAAGTTATCTAAGACTCCATCTGCAAAGAGTCATCTCATTACCATACTAAATCATGATAGTCTTTTTATTGATATTTTCTGCTTCACTCATACATAATTGATGATGTTCTACTTTACATTATTGGATAATTTTCTATTTTAGGTTTTTTTTCTTGTGGTGCTGAGGACTTAATCCAGGGCCTCATACACAATAGACAGACACTTTACCTCTGAGTTACACTCGCAGCCCACGATAATTTTTATTTAAATAAAAGCAAGAAGAGGAAAAAAAGTTTTTAGTGACATAATTTTATCTCATATAAACGGAGTTTTAAAATACTACTAAAAATTTAAATTTCTTCTTTTTAAAATTTATTTCAAAAACATAAAAGTTCTTGGTTTCATTCTTATAATACTTCTTTATTCAAAAATTCTTAGGTAAGCCAAATGAATCACTGTACCTATATGTTTCAATAGCTTTCATATCTTCTTCATCAAATTCATCTTCAGCCTCTTCTAACTGTGCAAGAGTCATCTTTTCATATGGTTTAACTAAAAAAGTAAATTGTAGATAATTGTTTAAAAACTACTTTCACTTTACAATAAATATGTAGAAAAAAACAATTAGGTATGGCAAATGGACATCAAGAGTGTCTTTAAACCTGAAGCAGTCAGTCACAATAGTTTAGATATTGTAGAAGCTACATTAAAATTTTATTAATGCCTTCAAAGGTCACAGAATTGACAGTGTATATGTAAAAGCAGATATGAAAATTAATCAGACTTCATAAATTTAGATTTCACCCAAATATCTAGAAATCTTGGCAAATAATATATATTCTATAGAATGATCAAAATAGAAGGTAATCACAAGGTAGAGGAATATAGTGGGAGAAAAAAAGTCTCATGAGGCTACATACCAGCATATTTCAGCTCTTTCATTAACTAGCATATGATTTTCATATGTGAATTAGCCACTTCATGTGTCAATACCCCAATTCTGAATGTATGAATGGAGTTTATATTAAATAATTTCTTATGCCTCTTTTGATGTTTGTGAAACAGAGTATTGCTACCTTAACTGTGTTATTCCTTCATCTAGCCCACCAAATGCACAACTATACCCATTGCCTCTTTCTGTAAACGTAAGACCATTTCTTCAATTTCATCTTTTGGTTCTTCTTTTGGAGGAAGAATGCCAAAATCTCTTAAGATTTCATTCCATTCTGTATCTTCATTTGGATCCTTCACAAAAAGAAAAGAAAATCTATGGTCATAACTGTGGATTTTAATACATACTTGTAAAATTGACAATTGATAATGTAGCACTTCCAAGTATGTAATTTTTGTGAACTCTATAGACTAATTTTAAATGACAGAGCAAAGTGGTCTGCTTTTTTACATTTTTCAGCATTAATAGGATTGTATCTTCTATCCTCAGTGTTACACCGAGAAGTTAATTAAAAATCAATTTGAACACATGTATCAAATATTAAGGAAGTAAATTTGTAAATCATGGAAAATTCACTGATGACTATAGTGACCTAAACTAATTCATATCATGCAGATATTGTTTGGTTTCTTTTACATTTAAGCATTCAAGACCTTCAGGTGAACTTGCTTCTGTTTTTAGGTATACCTCTTTGTGGGATTCTCACTCATGGGTTAAATCTTAGAAGAGGTCAAGAGACATTCTAGATTTCAATTTCTATCTAATCATCTTTTTCTGTGAAAATTATTTTTGCTTTCTCTGTTACTTAATCATTGATTTTTTTTGTTTGCAGCTTTTCCAGAGTTTGTCTACCATATGTTACCTATTGTCCCTGTAGCCTATTGTACACATTCTCTGATGTTTTCAGAGAAACAAAGAAATTAATTACACACATGAGTAAACACTATAGCAGACAAATCTAAGATAGCTGTAAATGATCTTTCCTATGTGATTGGATGGAAACTGTGGCTTGCTTCTAACTAATGAGTATAGCAAAGATGAAGATATTATTATATTCTCTAAGATTAGAGCATCCATTACCAGCCAACTCACTTCCTGACTTTGACGAAGTAAGTTGCCACACTGTGAAGTATTCTAAGAAGAGAACCATGTAGCAAGCAACTGTGAATAAATTCAGAATTAAAATCCTCAGCCAAACAGGCCAAAAAGAACTAACTCCTGCCAACTGCCATGTAAGCGGATGTGGAAGTGGCTTCTTCCTCTGTTTTTCCTTCAAAGGAGATCCAGCTCTGGCTATTATATTGATTGCTATAAGATATTACTCTAGGAAACTTTTAAAGATCTGACTTTTAATTGTCTAGATTCAGTTAAGGTTTTCTTTCTCTATGATTTTTTGCAGTTTTGATGAATCATGATATATATAGTATTTCTTTTTATTTGCCCTGAATGGGCTCACTGGACTGGGATTTTTGTAGCTGTAAAATAGTATCTTTCAACACTTCTGGAAAATTTGCAGAAATTGTCTTATTAAATATTCCTTGAACTCTTTCCATTATTCTTCCTATTTCTAGTCTTCTGACCTAAAAATAAAATCTACTGATATTTTAAATTTTATTTGTTGCAGTTTTTAGTTTTCACAAGTTTTATTTGTCTATTTATGAAATATTTTTATTGTGGTGAAACATATATAGTATAAAACTTACCATTTTAACTATATTTAAGTGTAGAGTTTGGTGGCATTAAGTACATCCACACTGTTACACATCACCTACCGTTGTTCATTTTAGGGTCCTCCAACATTGTGTTACCTGCAACTCAGGTCTGTATGCTCAACACTCCCCAAAAAATCATGGGAGGCCATTTATTTTGGTGAAAGGAAAAAAGGCTTTATTCAAAACTAGGGGAAGATTGAGGAAGCTCATGGCCTCAAACCACCATCTTATTGTGTCTCTGTGTACAAGGATATTTTATAGTAAGGAAGAGAGGAAGAGAATACAATGAGATAGATAACTCCACACTAGTTTCGTTCCTTTGTGAAAACAAAGTTTGATTTCCTGGAATCAGCAGCTACACATTCTGTCCATTTATCTGAGTTAAAAGAGGAGGCGGTTGGTGGTTGTTAACAATCTAGGCAGAAGGAAGTTTGGTGAAGCAGCTTGTCTCTAAACGAAAAGAATCTAACTTTCAAAGATCCATTTTTTCCTATTGGTTATAATCATTCTTTTTCAAGACTATTTTGGCTATTGAGTTCTCTTGAGATTCCATATAAATTTTAAGGTAGGTTTTTCCATGCCTTCAAAAAACAATGTTGTTGAATCAGCCCGCTGCACACAGGAGAGTCTGTGCACGCCCTACCGAGGTCTCGAGTCACAGGGAAGACACCGAATCACCCCGCTGCAGACAGGCAGCCACCTGGTTCCACGCTACAGGGACGCAGAGGACACCAGACCACCAGACCAAGGTACTGAGTCCCGCTGCTCCCGGCCCAGAGGTAGGGGCTTCTGAGCCATTGTCCCACTGCTCCTGGTCCAGAGGAAGGGGCTTTCCAGCCACCATCCCTCCCGCTGCTCCCAGCCCAGAGGAAAGGGCTTTTGGGCCACCTTCTGTCTCACTGCTCCTGGCCCAGAGGAAGGGGCTTCCAGGCCACCATCCCTCCCACTGCTCCCAGCCCACAGGAAAGGACTTTTGGGTCACCATCCCTACCGCTGCTCCCGGCCCCTGTCCCACCTCACCCAGCACAGAGGAGGTAATCCATGCAGGCGCTAACAGCCCCCTG